TGTGCTCTTCCGATCTCGCTACGCTCCTGCGTACTCCGGCTAAGCGCGACCTGATTGATTAACTTTATTCGTTAATAACTCTGTAAATAATGGTCTGAGCCAAAATTAAAAGAGGAACTTTTAGTTCAAAATTTCATTCTCTTTGACACCTTGAAATATTAATTAAGCGTTACGGGACACCCTGTATACAAAATTTTATTAAAATCATAATTTGACACTTTTGTTATAAAACTAATTGTATATTCACACATATCGGTCGAATATTGTTTTATTTTTGTCCGTGATAAAATGCTATTATTTCTACATCATCTTGCGGTACATAGCACGGTGCATTTTATTTATAGTGGTTTTCCAAACAGGCTTAATCCACTCTTATTTTTTAATGCATTAGTTATTCGAAATGCTGTCATCCCTTTTGATTAGTTTTTGAGATACGAGGGCAAGTTAATAAGTTTTTAGAAAAACATAGTAAAATAACACTTTTTTTTTATTGATTCATTTTTATGTATTGTAAAACATTACTTTTCTATATCTTCCATCAAGTCCATTTTAATTATTTTTTTCAACGTCGTACCAGCGTCGGGTGTCAAATCGTATCCTCCAATCACTGACATACTGTCCCAATGAATTTGTCGTATCGCTGAATTACGAAAGACGGCTAATAATGGAACGTATTGCTATATATGACAAAAATTAATATAAAAGATAGATACAAAATAAGATAATGGCATTTATATAATATTAGATTAATGTAAAAAAATTTGTCACATATTTTTAATAAGTCTATTAAATACACTCTATTATATAAATATTTTCATTATTAGTAAAGCACCTTTAATTTATTTTCTTGGAAAAAGCGTCAATAAAAAACCAATAAAAAATTAATAAAATATTAAAATTGTAAAAATAAATATTTTTTTTAATAAAACTTTTTTTAAATTTATTTTTTTAGAACATTATGTTAATTTGTGTTGATGTTTTATATTTATGGCCGAGATTATAAGAGAACCACGGCTCGTTGGCATATTTTGCAAATTTAGAGATTTGACTTTTAAATTATTGTTGTAGCCACAGACTATAACTATTATAGTCTTATATCAATTACAATCCCGAGTAAAAATTTTTATATACAATTATATATGACCATATATGAATTATTATACATATATATATATATATACAATATATGAACACATATATATTAGGGTGGACCTTATTTGTACTTGGTAAAAAATTTTTTCCGAATTTTTTTCACGACGCCCGATAAAGTTGTTCCATTTGGTGAAAAAAAAATTGTGTAAAAGCTGAGCTCGATCGGATAACGGAAAAACGTGGCACAATCCTGTTAAAGTTGAAACAAATATTTTTTTCACAAAAAATGGGGAAATTCGATGAAAAGAATTCTGAATAAAGATTAAATGATTTTCTTATAGTAAATGTTGACCAATGATAATATGTTTTTTAATAAATATAGTATATTTAAATCATATTTTAACAAAATATATTGTATATATATTATATATGTGTATACAGAATACATCGTATTTTTATATTTATAAGCAAGCAGGAAAATAAAGATATCAATATATTGTTTGCATATATTTTCCATTGTAATATTTAAAGCTATTGTAATTTCATAAATCCTTAATAAGAGTAGATTTTGGACATTTGGATACTGAGTTCTTTATGTGTTACGATATGAAAAATTAATTGTTTTTTTCTTTATTTCTCGACAAAATTTGATTAAAATTCTGCATAAGCTTAACTCCTCGTTCTGCTGTGTCATTTACGACTTTAAGCGTTTTCACAATTTCCATATCAATTTCATATCAATTTTATTGAACAAGCTGCAATTACTTTTTTTAGAAAGTTTAAAAGAAAAATGTTTATTCGTTAATAGTTTTGAATTATAAAGTTTTCATGCACTAAATTTTAAAAATATAAATCATAAATCTATACTGAAATAAAATTTAAAAGAATTTTAAATTGAGAGTTAATTCACTCAGGTGTTTTTCTCTTTTTCTCTCTTTCTTTGAAGCACATTACGGAAATATTGCCATTTTATATTTGCAAAAAACAAACTTGATATTTACAAAGTGTTCCAAGAATTAATTTAAAAACTTCAAGTTAGATGTGCCACGTCTTCCCGTTGTCCGATTGATTTCAGCTTTTACACAATTTTTTTTCACCAAATGGAACAACTTTAAGGGGCGTCGTGAAAAAAATTCAAAAAAAGTCAAAAATAAGGACCACCCTATATATATGTATATAATAAAATATGTTTATACATATGTTTTATATTGTTATTATAATTCTAAATATTAATTTTGATTTTATGAATTATTTACAGATTGTGAAACATTTTATTTAAGAAAGAAGATTGATTATTAAACTATATATTCACCAAAAGCAAAATTAAAAACTCTTGCAAACCAATTAGTATTTATAAATGTTATTTTGCTAATAACTTCGAATGGATTAATATAATATATTTTATACAAAAGATTTTATAGTCTTATAAAAGATTTATACAGCGTCCGATGATACAATATATAACATATGATATCCAATAGGAGAACAGGAGCAGTATTTTGTATACGCTACAGATGATTGTCGGTACTGTTGCGCTCCTTCTTATAATAAAAAAAGCTGTGCAACGACAGTGATAATCATATTCATTGGTGTATACAAAATAGAATACTATCCCAGCTTTCCAAAGGAGAATTGAATTTTTTATTAGAAAACTGTTCTCTTATTGGATATTGTATGTCGATTGGTATCATCGGACGTTCTGTGAATTCTCCAGTATGTACCTATATATATACCCACGGTATTTGATTCTGTCGGAAATTTTCACAAGTTCAGAAGTAATTACTTTTCTATATTAATGCTCATGGTCTATGCACAATTTTGTTTCAATAATCGTGCTTGGACTATGGTTAATGTAAAAAAGTGATCACTTCTGAGTTTGTGAAAATTTCCGAAGGACAGAATCAATTACTGTGGGTGTACATACAAGGTCCTTGGCATATTGTATGCATATTAATATAACGTTTCCTGCAAAGTTTCTGGAATGTTAATGGAATGAGATTCGACGAACATTTTCATGTTATTGGGAGGTTAATTTAATAGTATGTTCATTAATCTCCGTGTAATGTTACCATCTTACAATTTTAAGTTATGGAAAACTTATTGGGACGTTCATGTGCTGTAAGAGATATTCCTCTGCCACTGTGTTCTCGCGCCTAAACAAATATTGAGAGCCAAAAGTAATAGTTACGGAATACACACATAAATGAATAATGAAACTTTTCAAAATTCATGTATTTTTTCAAATAATATTGCTTACAATATTATTTTTTATATATTACTGCTTTTCATATATCAACAATTATATTTATTTTGTTTTGGGAAATAATCACGTTTGGTCGATAAAACAGTCGACTTTAGGATCGCCTTAACAATAAAAACAACATGCAATAGTACAATAACTGTACCTTAAACCATTTTACGTTTTCAGCCAGTTGGTAACACAATTTTAGAGGTGCTGGTTGTTGGAATGGATCAGGATCATCTATCAATCCTACAAAACTAATAAAAAACAATTGACAATATATTATATATATATATATATATATGTACATATATATGGGACGTTTTGCATTAAGCGGGCGATCTCTCCTGCCCAAATTGAACGCAATGGAATAAAATGTTTGAGGTCTTAAAATATTCGTATATGTAGTTTCGAATGACACGTGGCCTTTTGAAAAATTCAATATGGCGGCTCAAATATGACGTCTAAAAGCCATAAAAATCACGAATAATTTTATAGTATCTTCGATTAAAATGCAAGAACTTCAGAAATTGACTTAAAAATGATTACTATAAAGTTTAAGGTCTTTAGTTATGACTAGATGTGAATCTAGAAACAGAATTACAAAATAAAAATGGCGGATTTAAAATGATCAAATTTGGAATCAGTACATAAAACGTATCATAATTGTTGTTATGTCGAGTCTAATACTCTACGATGACCACTGTGGCAAAGAAGACATTTGCAATTTTTTTTTAATGGCGAGGAAAGCATGTATACTTTAGTTGAGGAGCTATAGAAATTCCTTTTGTAAGAAATTTCGAAACTTTCATATGTTTTTCTTTGCTTTCCTTGTTGAAAAATTGCAAATAATGTACTACTCTGATGCCGTTGAATCAATTGGATATTGTAGAGTATTAAACTCGACATAACGACAATTATGATACGCTTTGTGTAATGATTCCAGATTTGGTTATTTTAAATCCGCTATTTTAATTTTGTAATTCTGTTTCTAGATTCGCAATCAACGACCTCGAAAACTTTATAGTAATCATTTTCAAGTTAATTTCTGAAGTTTTCGCATTTCAATCAAATATACTCTAAGATCATTTGTGATTTTTGTGGTTTTTAGATGACATATTTCAGCCGTCATATTGAATTTTTCAAAAAACCACATTCCATTCGAAACTATATATGGTAAGTATACGAACATTTTAAAATATCAAACATTTTTTTCCATTGCGTTAAATTTTGGAAGGAGAGGTAGCCCGCTTAACGCAAAACGTCTCATATACAATGGCGAACAAAAGTAAGTTTAAAGTCGTTCTATCTTCTAAAAATAGGAAAATTTCAAAATAAAGCAACTTCGTCAAAAATGATCATAACGAGATTTTTAAGCAAGTATTTTATAGCTTAAAACCTCCACTTTTCAAATTAATATATTAAAAAACAATTAACAGATTTTTTTCGGAGTCGCATTGTTTAGTATTTGGGCGAGACCATTTTCGGTCGCCGATTTAGCGACGCCGCGCCGGAACACCGAACGCGGCGATTCCGAGAAACCCGTCGAGTCGTTTCGCCGAACTTCGCAATTTTTCGTGGAATCGGGGATCACCGCGGGTAGACGTTAGACAAGAATTTTCGGAAGAACACTTCTGCTCCAATTTTCTAACAGTTCGGTCGTTTTTTAATTTATACTGACGAAGTTTCGGACGAGAGATTCTGACGACATTTTGTAAGGGACACGGTTCGACTCCGAACAAAGCCGCTACAGCATTATCCCTGTCTCTT